AAAAAAAAATCATGTAGTAATTTGGAACAATCAGTTATGTGATTTACTTGTTTTAATTACATGATATAGTTATGTAACTTTGTTGTGATCTTTTTCAGTAGGACATATTTTACCAAACAGCACAAAAAAGTGTATTGAGGATTTCGCAATTTAACCCATTTATATATTTATATTAAATGCACATCTTTAAATTGATTTGTGTACGATGGCTTTAATGTGTCAAATTAGTTATTAGTTGTCAAATTCATTATTACTTTTCTGATTCAATCTTCGCGTATTGCTCTGTGCCATCCCTGACCTGTAAAAGAACAATTTTTATAATAAAACTTAATTATACGCAGATTTTTGATACGGTAATATTTATGGAAATTTACTACAAAACTAGGTAACGTTTCTATGTCGTATTCCTCGCAATGCGTCAAAAACTCCGTAATAAAATTTTCTTGAGAATTCCTTCTCGAATAGTCTGTTATAGCAAATGATATTAATAGACAATTTAATGTATTATTTATTGTAATAACTCTACAAACGTCTGTATTCTTCTTTTAACTCCTTATAATTTTTCTAACAAAAATACTAACTGCTTATTGAGGATTCTTGGTCTTTTATTGACGCAGCGAGCTCGCTTTTCCTGTTTGATGACATGTTTAACCTCCTAATATTATTCGTTCTGCGATTTCTATTGTGATAGAAAAGGAACAAAATGACAAAAACCGCATGAAAAAGCGGTTCTATATATAATGGTCGCTTTCAACAGAAGTCAGCATTTAATAAACGCTTTGTGTCAATTGGATTATACTTTCAAATGTAAAGAAATAATCTTATTTCAACAAAGGAAATTTCCAACTGTTGTAAAATAAACATTATACTGCCAAACACCATCAAAATTTTATATATATATATAACGAATTTTAAACCATAAAATTAAAAAACATCGATTTACAAAAATTTGCTTGTACATATATATAAGGGGATTAAAAAAAAATTATTTATTTATTTCTTACATAAAAAAGTATTATTTTGTACAATAATTATGTAATAAGCCCCTCTCGCCTTTTAATATACTTTGGTGCATTTATAAAATTTTATAAATATTAAAAAAAAATTTTTTTTACTCCAATTGTTGAGTTACTGATATTACAGATTTTTTTCAAAATAGAAATTCTCCACTTTTAATATTTCGTCTTATAATCGAAACAAGTCGTGTTATATTCGCAGGACAATGGCGCCTACGGCACCCCTTATCGCGAACATGACATGTAATCTGATGCTTGGGAAATATAGGGGTGATCAACCCCTATGAAGCCACGTGTAAAAGAAGGGAAAAAGGGAGAGATGGCCTTCGGGAAAAGTATTGAACGAACTTTGATGCGTGGTTGCGTAACAGGAGACGAAGATCGAGTCGAGCGATAAAGACTGGCTCTGTCGAGCTTTGTGGGATTAAAGTCTGTAATTATATATGGACGCGCTGCGGACGATTACCAAAATGATTTGTGTCGGAGGGGGGGGGGGCCCTAACGGCGCCACAAATGGCGGCCGTGAAACTCTTGGGTTCAATCGATGACACATCTCGTGCTATGATGGGACAAGCGGCAAGCTGTGTTAAATCGATGTCGCGCGTGCTTGACCAATAAAGCAAAATTAGATCATAAATCTTTATAGGGAAGTAGAGAGAAAATACCATAAAAGAGAGAGTTTTTTTTATAAAAATCTAACGAGTCCAAAAGTTAAATTTTCAAGAAACAAAAAGTCTTCTCATTTTCGAATCATTCCAAAATTCGTGGTAAAGCTTTCTCTGGCACATTAGATATAAAAAAAAAAAATTTAATTTTGATAAACATTTCGAAGACTCCCCAAAATAGAAATTTTTGAACTGTGTTTATTCTTACGAAAGTTTTATATTTATTATTATTTAATTATATTCTTACATTTATCATTCTTTTTTATAACATTTACAATGATAAAGGTAAAGAAAGAAATATTTGAAGTATAAAGCAATTCCTATATTTTTCGTTTGATTCTTGCTGGAATAAAATTATTCATCGCTATTGATAAAGAACAATTTGACTCCATAACACATTTCTTTTTTTAACAGACATATTTGACCTTTGAGGGACTTTTACATCCCTTTTACATCACACATATGTCGTGCTAGTTTCACAACTGCCGCGGATTGTACATTCGAAAACTCCTCCAACTCGAAACATCAATGAAGAGTTCGACTCACTCTTTCAATTTTCTAACATAATCGCACGTTAAACAATAATGAGCATTCATCTGAATAATTAGGTCACTGTCGAATTAGAATTGCATATTTGTCGCATGTACAATTCGAACGACGAGAGTTGCGAAGTTATGTAAAATACGAGTACATGTAAATGACACGTTTGCCTAATTTCGCCGCCTAATTTTTTTACCCCGGACGCGCCTTCAAAAGTTTTGGCTATCAACAATGAGCGAATATTCGTCGTCTCGTTCGTGATCCGTTTTTTTTTTTTTTTCGAAACGATATTTATCATGTCCGATTCTGCCCCCGCTTATATATGCGGCGGCTGACAAGTTCGCGTCTCGTTATACCGCCGCTCCGGCGAACGCCGTACGTTCTTACTTCGTCAGTCGTGCCCAGCGCGTCCAGTGAGCTGCACGCGAGGTGCTTATTATGTGCGCGTTTCGAGTCCGCGATTAAACACGATCGAAAAATCGCGCGTGTCCCAGCGAAACAATAACTTCCGGTGTACGATACGCTGAACGTTACTTGTCGATGAGACGCCGGTCTCATCCAGAAACCGTGCTGGGACAAACACGGAAGGCGGGCGGCGGAAAGTAAGCCACATTGTTTCAATTGTTGTCGCTTCTATTATTCTATAATTGCCCGTTTCTTAATTACGTAATATTACTGTTAAGGAATATTATAAGTTTTCATTTTCAACCAGCGTTTTCTCCGCGAAATTCCTGACGGTGGAATTTCGACGAGACGAAAAGTAAGCCGCATTGTTCTAATTATTGTCGCTTGTATTATTCTACAATTGCGGATTCTTAGTTTGTATAATATTGCTATTATGAAATCTCCGAAGGAATTTTAGAAGGGATTGTTTAATTTTTCAAAACACAGCGTTCGTCACGAAGTTCTCGAACGGACGAATTTCAATGAGACGAAAAATAATCCGCATACTGTTGAAATTACTGTTAATTATATTCTTCTATAATTGCAGTTTCTTAATATTATATATTATATAATATTTAAAAAATATTGTAAAAAGAACGTGATAATTTTCAATGTTTAAGCAGCGTTCTCCATGAAATTCCCCCAGGGGAATTTCGACGAGAATAATAATTATTTTGCACGAGATCTCCTCGAGTTACTCCGGCGAGATCAGAGCAAAAGAAAAATTTACGGCTGCGCCAATCCGTTGCGGTAGGGATTAAGGGATTATCATTACGAGGAGTAAAAGGATTCTCGTCATGCAGAATCATCGTTCGCTCGCTCGCGTTCCTCGAGTCTCTCACCGACTGCATCGATTTACGAGTGTTTACATCACGATGTCGGGGCGCGCCGTAATCACCCGGTATTATGAATTATGCACCCCGGGGTGGTTTCGAATTTCTTCCCGGTCCACTTCGTTCCTCTACACTCGGAGACATGGCTTGTCGTCCGCGCGCGATCGTTAATATTAATTTCGGGCGGTGCTAAATTGGTACAAATTGCGACGTCAATTAAACCGCTTTGTCGTTGGTAGTTATACTTCATGGACCAACCGGCAAGTTTCCATTACTCTGGCTGGTTGATCTTCTTATTCTGTAATTCTTCGGAACGCCTATTCACGTTTACGTTTGCTTGAACCAAATATTCGACGAGTGTAAAAATAAGATATATAGTTGAAAGTGAATAAATTTTTTGTAGACCGAATGATCGTGACGTGGAATTTGATTTTCCACGTTGTTCATTGTCAGTGAAATGGGATAGCCTGTTGACAAGGATATTCGTTGCAATCGTTGCGTTCCATTTACGTGGGAATTTCTCGGTTTTGTTTTTAATAGCTAAAACACTAAAATACATACGTCATTCGAAATAAATCGCGACTTCAGAATCATAATAGTTGTGATGAAATGTTTTATTTTATTTGATTTTAAACGACACGAGAAAGAGAGGAAGAAAATTTAAATTAATCCTACGTATTTTTCTTTTTTTTTTTTTCAAGTTTAAAAATTTCCGCGATTCTCCATAGTTTTTTGCATCGGGCGCAGTGAAGCGCAAAAACGTGGAGAGATCGTCCGAGATCAAATCGTATTTCCAGATGTTGCCGATGCAACTCGGTGCAGCCGGTCGATCGCTTGTTACCAGCCGCTTGTAAATTCACCTTTATTCCTTTTTTTTTCCAACGCGGAAGGGGGCTGCTTGCTCTTCTTTTTCTTCGAGAAAGGAATGCGAGCGACTTGCGTCTAGAGAGCGACTGACGGAACAAAAGGGTGTTCCCCGCTTGCTACGGGGACCGGGTCTTTTCTTTTCGGCTCTCAAGTGGGTCAGAGCAGTGGTTGTACGTATAAGACACGGGATGATGAACGAATCGAAAAAGTGAATCGGAAAGATATCAGAGTACTTGATGAGAATGGAGGAAAAGAGAGATTTCAGAAAAACGTTACAATATTTGTATATACAATAATAATATTATTGTTAGTAGAGATCTTCAAAGAATTGCATTCTGCTAACAATCACTCTATCGTCGAGATACGACGAACGACTGTTGAAAGCACCAATTGATTCAGATTCTGTAATGCATGGAATCTTTCACATCCCTCTCCGGGCGACGATAATGATGTTTCTTGTACATATTTTTCTTCCATTAAGAAGTAAAACCTAAATGATACTTCTTCCTTGTATCTTGAACAAAAATTGGTTGTACCGAATTAGAAAAATAAAATTTTTCAAATGACACTATTTTTCATTAAAGCATAAGTGACACAAATTTTTGTACGTCGAATAAAGAAACTGCATCGAATTAAAAATGAAACTCATAAAGAAGTAAAACTTAAATAGTAATATCTTCACTCTAAGTTTCTTGCAGTAAAATCTCACCCCAAGAAAGTAAAAATACAATCACTTTTCACTTCTTGAAAAAGTGTGACAATTTTTAGTCACTTCGCTACAAAGGAGTGAAATCTCACTTTTTTGAAAACAAAAAATTCAGCTCTTTATTCCATTGAACGGTCTCCTTATTCTAATCCGAATAATAGCTTTGATTCTTCTAAAAAAAAAAAAAAAAAAAAAAAAAAAACCTATAATGATATAAAATTGCGACAGAGGGATGAGCAAGAGATTCTATGAATAATGCGAATGTATTTCTATCTTGTGAATGTTAAAGCGACAGTGATTATGAATCGAAATCGTAAAGTGGATTCTCACGAGTGTCACGCCCACTTTATCGGGAAATCCGCTCTTCTCTCCTTCGAGAAGAACCCTTCCTCAAGGAGTAGCGTCACGCATGGGCGCGCATTATTTAAGTCGACGTCCGCGAAGGATCGTTAAAATGCGCCGCGTGTTTCGTTTTCACGCAAATGCGCGAGCCGAACACGTGGCGGGCGGGCAGAAGAATGAGCTGTAGGCAAGAGTAATGACCGCCAATCGAATCGGCTACTTTTACGAGCGTCAACATTTAATACATTCCTGGATAGGAAATAACGAGGAGGTGAAGAGAATAATTGTAAGTTTCACGAGTGTCCAAACGAAGGAAGATGGGGA